CACAGATTTTTTTTTTTTTTTACATGCCGTTGTTTAAAGAAGTCACACTCAGCTGACTGCTGACTGTCAAACAAAACAAATCAAGAGGGAGAAAATGAAACAAAGATTACGTTCAATTATTCAGATCTGAAAAATAAAAATAAAAAGGTGACGATGTGTCGCAGAAGGACGGAAATGACTCAACGTTAAGAACCCCAGGAGTAGACGCCCGACGTACAGAACGCCAAGAACACTCAGCGACAGATCAGGAGTGTAAATCAGTGGAGGTTCAACACCGCAACCAAAACACCAGTGACTGTTATTGTCAGAAATCTGTGGTTGACACAGAGAAAATAAACTGCAGTACTGGGAGACAACAATACTTGTAAATATAAAGTTGAAAAGAAGACACCACAAACTACTCTCTTGGGGTTTTAAAAAAAATTATCTCTGTATTGGATCAGAGTTTTCTGGACCGTGTGTCCAAAGGACAAGTCGATTCTGATTGGCTCAGATCCTGACCACTCAATTTTCAAACGATTTATTTTGTGTGTCCAGTTAAATACTGTACGTCCAGTGTTTTGCTATGATTACCTATAAATGATAATACGTCCATGGTTTTGCTACGAGACAAAACTTTCCATAAACCAGAGGTGTTAAACTCAGTTTTGGGTCAGGGTCCACATACAGCTCTAATTACCTATAAATGATAATACGTCCATGTTTTTCCCTCTTTTCATTCTAAGAAGTACAAGTGTATTAGAAAGTATTCATATTTGATGAAACATCAGTTAACAAAACATCATGAACATGAAGCGTTTTGAGCATTTTTCTGATTTCAAAATGTATCTAGAGGGCCGAATTGAACCGCCTCGCGGGCCGGTTTTGGTCCACGGGCCGCATGTTTGCCACCCCTACCTTAACTTATTACACGCTATAAGTTTACATCACAACAACTTCATTGTTGTTTTAACGCTCACTTTCCAATCAAATGCACGAACGCTGACGTCACCCCTCGCGTATTCCCTGTGCAGCGGCATTCCCAGAAAACTGTGCGTGTCTGATGTGGGAGGAGAGGATGCGCTGGCTCTGACCGTCAGGCTCCTTGTGATTGGTCACCTCCGCGTAAGAGCAGATGCGCGAAGCCGATCGCCTTTAAACGGCAGCGGGGCAGAGGTGCTCAGACAATCACAATCACACCGGCCGGTCACACGGATCCCCATCGTCGGGCAACAGAACCGAGCCGAGCCACGAAAAGAAGCAGTGCGCACGGTTGAACTCTAAAAGCGCAGAGGGCAGATTACGCACGGAGCCATGGCTGTGCCGAGCGCGCGACAAGTTTTCCTGCTGTGTTTCCTCTGGTTTCTTGGATGCGGACGCTCAACAACAGGTGCGTGAGGACGAAATTAGGTCTTTGACAAGGAAACTTTGGCAGAAAACGGCAGAAAAGTAAGAAAAAGTTGCTGGATTTTGACGACAATTATTACTGATGCAATTGTTATTATGGTGGTCTTGAATAATAAGAATAATTTAAAAAATAAAGTAAAAAATAAAGTATTATTATATATTGTATATATATTATTATATTATTGCTATTATTATTATTATTATTACTACTACTACGATAATAATAAATATACAACTAAAGATTTCTATATAGAATTATATATAAATATATGAGTATATATTTATATATACCTATACACACACACATATATATATGTATATATATATATATCAATACTTTTAATCCATAGTTATTTACAGAAAGGAATTAAAATGGCGTACTAATGTTTAATAAAAACCTTCACCTTTTTTATAAAAAAAAAAAAAATCAAAGATATAATCAAAGATTTTTTTTTCTTTTAAATGAAAATTGTCAAATAATGAAACAGTAACAGAGTGGTCCAAGACGTGCCAAATCAACGGATTATTGATGTAAATGTGTGTCATTTCAGTATATATTTTACAGTGTATTTTAGACTGACTGCTACATTGTCTGTGTTCAGATGCCAGTCTGTATGATGACCTGGAAGAAAGACTACTGTTGAATAAGGTAACAAATTCCACTTTTATATAAAAACCAACCATAACTTTTCACTCAGACGTGAGCCCATACGTGTAGAAGAATGTCGATAAAAGACATCATGGCTGCCACTGATCTCTGTGAGGATCTGATTTGGCAGTGAACTCATCACTGTGACTACAGACTGAAATCAAAGCACCGTGTTTTTGAAGGGAATGGAGCAGCAGCCAGATGAGCACGACATTGTAGATGAATTATTAATAAGTAGCTTCTACCGTGTCTGCTTTCTAACTGTGCGGTTCACTAACGTCCGGCGGCCGCGCAGTTCAAAGAGTCATGTCTTTTTTTTTTTTATGTTTCTCTCAGAGAGTCTGAGGGGGGTTTCGCAGTTGATAAACGACTATTTTGGTCATAGTTTATTCATGAGTTAATGTGTCTGTTGTTGTTTTGTTTTGTGCAGCTGCTGCGCAGCGTCAGGAGTGATGACGTGAGTGACGTGGAGTTGAGGGACCAAGAAGAGGTGAGTCAGGAGGAAGACCGAGAAAGTGTTTTACGGAAAGTAAGCTCGGGAATAATTAGGCTATGTCTCACTACTTTCAAAATGTTTGTTTACACAAATATTATGAAAGGTTTTTTAAGCTATACTAGATTAATTGAATTGCGCAGGCACAGAGGCGACGATGTGTAAAACATATATACACATACATGTATGTGTATATGTGTAAACTGAATTGCATCCCATAACCTTTATAAAAACAAAAAGTTAAATATTAGCAGTCATGGTTACTGGCCTCCAGTGGAGGAAAATTAGGTAAATAAAATTGGTCAGTTATTAAGCATCGATCTGTGTCATGTTGAGTAAATATATATTTAACATATTCAATGTATGTCGATCACTTGAGCCTGGTCATTTTGAACAGCAGAAGTAGCTGAGCAGTGCATGGTGAACTTAACAAATAAAGAAGATTGATATTGGTGTCAGTGATGCCTCAAATGGTAAAATTGCTAAAGGGTTAGCTCAGGCGTGGGCAAACGTTTTGACTCGTGAGCCACAATTGTCCTTAAATTGACCAGGGGGGCCGGGTCAGGAGCAGATAGATGGAGCGTTCATGTGACTAAGATAAATGACATGTAAAAGTCATACAAAAATGCTAAAATGCTTCTAGCCTTTTCTAAGGCAAAAACTAAGGTCCGAGGTCCAGATGCGGCCCGTTCAGCTTTTTAAAACTTTTCCAAATTATATCATTTATTTAAATTATCATTATACTTCTGCCTTTTCCCTGCAATACCCACATTTCCCCCAATAGGTGGGTTAGCATTTTAGCCATTATACATGACTTTTACGTGTCATTTTTCTTAGTTCACATGAACGCTCCATCCATCTGCTCCTGACGCGGCCCGCCTGTTCCATGTTAGGACAATTGTGGCCCGCGAGTCAAGAAGTTTGATGAATATTGGTATAGATAGATAGATAGATGTACTTTACTGATCCTGGGCTGGGAAATAACAGTATATATACAGTATAATAATAATAATATGAATTAATAATAGAATTTTGACATGTATGTTGGACTGGATTAAAAGGCCAAAAGGGCCGTGGTTTGCCCATGCCTGGGTTAACCTTTTAGCTACTTGGTGGTGGTGTGGCTTGGTACTTAATAAGCTCAAAGTCTGTCTTTACTTTACTTTAGTTCGGTACTTTCCCGTTTATAACATACAGTTATTCTCACCGCAGGAACAAGTGCAGAATGTTTTCAAACGAGTAAGTGTTTCCTATTTTGTCAATTTACTCAATGCTGAATTGTTTTTCCTCAAATCGTTAACTTAATTTTATTATCTGACCCTTTTCATTTTACAGTTTCTTTTCCACTACTCCAAAGCTCGCGACTCTCTCGGAGCCATACAGCACGAGGTGAGAGGCCAGGAAAAACAAATCTCTTTACGTTGTCTGATATCCTTGTTTAAAAAAAATGAATATCGTATTACAGTTCCTACATATTTGAGTCATCAGCCGATGATGCGAAGGCCGTGACTCACAGCACGTTGTGTAACGCAGTGGAGAGAATCTGATACTGGTGCAGAAAAGTAGTTTTAGTGTTAGCTGCAGGTGTGGCAGATGTTGATTATTATTCTGATGGGTTTTTACATGAACCGTACGAAGCTAACACGGCTAAAACCTGATAGCTGTCATTTTCTCATCTCTTGTTTTACATGCTGTGCCCTGATTAAACGGCATAATTATAAAGAATATTTTAAAAAAAAATTTCCTATCTTTTCTTCTCCAGTCTCACTAAAAAATTTTTTCCTATCTTTTCTTCTCCAGTCTCACTCTGTTCACCCGCTGATGCGACTTTTGCCAAAACTTTCACAGAGGAGAAAGGTGCTGCTTCTGGTGAGAGAACAAAACGTCAAACATTGAATGTGAATGTATTTACAGTGCGGCTACTTCTAAGTTTTTCTAAGTGTTTTTGCATTCTTTAGGGTACACTTCCATTGCTAGCCTTTATCACCCTAACCTGCTCGGTTTTTGAACCGTTTTATCCCGACACAGAAGATCTGATGCCAGAAGACAACGCTCCAGTAAAAGAAGAATCTGATGAACAGACTTAGCAAACAATGAGGCAACAACAGCAAGAAGCTTTGATCTGGAAAAGCCTGATGGACGTTTTGGGTACTGCATCACCAAAATGACTTTTTTGCCAAATGAAAATAAATGTTACTGTAAAAAAAGGAACAACATATTTGTGTATATAATTATAGTGTCATGCTGCCGTGCACCGAGTCTTCCTGCTTGGCTTTTCATGTACAGTAACACTGTCTTCACACAAACACAGATTTGCACAAATTTAGATTTCAAAAAACGCTTTTGTGTAAAACTTTTATTGTTGATTGTGACTAAGAGTCTACAAATATCAATTATAAATAACAGAAACTGGTGACAATTGTTGTGGCACAGAGGTGAACTCACATTTAATTTTACAGGTTTGTATGTCAATGTACATTTTGTGACAAAATGATCCGGAAACAACATTAAAAAAAATGTTTAAAATCTTGCCTTTGGTGTTTCTGTGACGGTTTAAGAGATGAATTTTGCTGAAAATACAGAATGATTGACACTTTTCCACAGTCGTGGTTTTGGTGGTTCTGTCCGGACAGATGTCCAGTCGATGTTCCTCTGAGCGGCGCGGTTGATCCTAGCATTATTAGAAAAGAGGAAATGTAGTCGCTCTTTCGGATGTCGACGACATCACTGCTCAAATATTTCATCTTCGGAGTGTAACAGCCACGTGGTCCCTGCGTTCCTTGTTATCTAATCATCCTCATCCTCTGATTCGCTGTCCTTTCTAGTCGGGAGTGAACCCCTGATTGCTGACATCAGCTTGTCTTCGACTTTCTTCCTTGGGTTTTCCTCCAGGTCTGTTTTCACCGCCCCGGATTCTGATAACCTCCACTCCAGTTCTGAATGACAGAAGAATATCATACTAAATGTGCTACAAATAGATCTCAGACACTAAAAAGTTAACGTAATTCTTATCCAATCAATCAACAAAATGAGCATAATCCATTTCAGGACCAAGCTCGTAACTCGAGGTGCTCGTATCTTGAATAATTTTTTCCCGTTAGAAATAACAGAACATTTTTTAATCCGCCCCTCTAGAAAAACTCCCCCATTAGTGCTAATAACAATGAATAAAAATGTAATTGCTATAAAGACATACACAACAAAACTATAGTATATAAGGATTCCTGCGATAAAAAATAAAATGTGATTTTAATTATTCTTACCTTCGAGACAGACGAGCAGCGGCTAATGGCAGCATGTGCGGAGGAGGAGGAGGGAGGGAGTTGTCCCGTACGTAGACACTTCGTAGCGTACCTTACACGTACACTACATAACTTACATAAACTAGGATGGTGATCATACCAACGCGCTAGGTCATTCACGCGGGCAACACGCTCATATTTGTTGACTCACTACCATCCTTAGCACTCACTCTCTTAGGATTCATTGCAGGAGATGCGTACGGAAGTCGACGAACACGTGAAGTGAACCGGAACGGCGCGGGCGCGGCCACCTAGCGATGGCGTCTGTAAGCGTGCTCGTATCTTAAACCTTTACTAGATCTTGAAGCAAATATTTGCTCAACGATTTGCTCGTATCTCGAGACACTTGTCTCTTGAGGTTCCATTGTATTCTTAAATATTTTGAGGATTTTTTTTTTTACACAGTTGTTCTTTGACCCCGATTCAAAGGGTTGCAGGTTTTTTCCACCCACCTTCAACTTTGAGGTTCATGCCCCCAAAGACCAGAGGACCGATGAACTGTGCCTTCATCTCCCCCTCAAGGTAAACAAAGATGGTGGGCAGGTTGTGGTCGGGATAGTTAGGGATGCAGGTGGTGGCGATGGACTTGAGGAATTTTGTCTGAGGGAACTTTCTGGCCAAGGCGCTCAGATGCTGGTTAATGAGGGTGCACAGAGGGATGCTGGGAAATTAAAAAAAAAACAAAAAAAACATTAGTCCTGAATTATTTGGACAGCAATTAAAATCAGTTGGAACATTGTTTCTTTTACAAGAAATCGATGAAGAGATGGAGCAGAGAGCCCTACTAGGAAGGCGCCATTTTAGAAATGTGTGATCACGATTTTTCTTTTAAATGCAGCTTTTTGGTTTGCAGTTTTAGAGCCTTCTGCTGACTCATCATTAGGTCTTTGCCCCCTGTTTTTTTAAGAAGCTCTCCAGTGATGTGAGTTTTATTCTCATTTTTTTCAAAATAAAATACCACAAAATTCAAATTAAATTGTATTAATAAAATACCACAAAATTCAAATTAAAACTTCTTATTCTTTCTGTACAGAAATGATCCACAGTCTCCTACTAATAAGTGGCCCAGAGGCTAGGGAAGATTAAACAAAAATAAACAAAAAGTCCAACGCCGACATGAGGCCTGGAACTCCTACCCCTGTTTGTAGAGATGCAGAACGACCCAGATGCCTTCTCCAGCCTTGTTCACCTCCTTCACGTAGTCCTGCCCAGAGATTTCAACAACCTCTCGAAACACGGTCTGCAACTGAGCCGCTTTCCACTCTGCCATACGTTTCTGTCTGCAGGGACACACAACTATGTCTTAGTCACACACTCAAACAGTTGATTATTATATTAAACACTATTAAAGGCTGTAAGTCAAGCCACGTGTATGTCACATCTTAATAGTAAGGCTGTTCTGCTTTATTACTTACACTGACACTCATGCAAATAACAGAGAGGAAAAGTCTCTTTTCTAGGAGACTTTCTTGGTCTGAGCAAAATTGTTTGGTCAAACTCACCTGTACATCTCGATTGCAGCCTCGTCTTCCTCACCAAACTCATCCTCATTCTCATGCAGTTCTTCCAGTGTCATGTTCTCATATGTTTTGACTGTATGGACAAAAAAAATGTATTAAAAATGAAATTTCAAAAATTGAAAAGGGTCTGTGTCCAGAAATACTTGCTAATTCTTCCACACGTGTGTACATGTGACATAGAGACAGTGTTCTTTTTAATGTTAAATAAAGTTACAAATACAACAGGATCTTCTCTCACCGACAGACTGTTGTTGTAGAGCCAGCTCCTCCTCCTCCTCTTCTTCATCTTTGGGAACCTCTTTAGGAGGTAGAATTCCTTTCTTTCTGAGGATATCATTCCACTCTGTGTCCTCATTTGGGTCCTACGGAAAATATGTAACAAATACTCATGGGTACATTATATGGTCTTGTACGTGATAAAATTAGTTTTATTTAAAATTTCATAAAGTAATACTATGCGTTTGTCCGCAGATTATAAACTTAACATCGCCACTAAATATTCGAAGAAAAATGCTACGTTTCTCGTTTATTAATTTTAAAAACATTTTATGTGAATTCAACACAAACTAAAAAGACAGAATGTAAGTAAGCTAAAAGCTAACGTGCATGGTAATATAGTCTGTCATTGTTAGCGCGGTTTTATTACTCAACATTTGGTGACTTTTTATGTATTAGATTATTTCATGCTCACACGTTAAATTTCACCACTTACAAAGATTTCGAAAGTTTTATTTACCTGCATTTTGCCAGAGAAGCCTCTTGAGAAATCACACCGCTGCTCTCCTATCACACACGGAAACGGCAGGAGCGCAACACCGAAAAGTTCCGAACCGAAACACGGAACACGGAAACGCCCAGGTCAGACAAATCCTTTTAAAGTTCTCGTAGGTACCACTGCGTTACACATTATTAAACCTAAACAAATTATAATTTATATAGGTAATTAAATAACGCGGAATCTCAGTAAGGTTTGTTGTACGGACACTTTGAAAATCAACAATGTCAGGACGGACAATAATAAAAGCGACAACAGTTTCCGGCTAAAGCTAACTATGACCATAAATGGAATAGGAGCATGGCATTCCATTTGTGGCTCTGACCAAACAGCTGTCTCTCTCGCTGTCACACACACACACACACACGCACGCACATACACATACACACACGTGCCGTACTAAAATATCTAGTTTAAAAGCAGCATACACATACGTGTCGTACTAAAATATCTAGTTTAAAAGCAGTGTAGTGTAGTCTAAAAACAAATTTTTTAAAAGTATTAAGGACACTGTTAAAGGTCAAGAATATGGTCTGGATTGCAATGAAAATGATTTTTTGTTTTACATTTTGGACATGTTTTCTTCCTTTTCTATATTAAAAAAATAAAAGAAATAATTTTGTTATGTGTCTTTAGATGATTTAGTAACTTTTCCCGAACTTTGTAAAATTGAACATTACTAAGCCACAGAAGATAAATAAATCAAAAGAAAACTTTAAGAAACAAAAACAACTAAACAAAAACCCTATGAATAGTGCAGTATAATACACACAATGTGCGTGTGTGTGTTTCATATTTCATTACTTTGTTGTTCAGACGTAATTAACAAAAAGGAACCGCATTGTCATCGAAAGACTTCCGACCCGGGTTCACTTAGGTTTTATATAGTACTAAATTATTTACTTTGACTTTCTTTTACTGTTTGATTTTTTGTTTGTAATTAGCGAACGTTCCTGTTGCGTTACTCAATTTTCATGGTGTAATAGTAGCGAAAGCTATCATATCAAATCACACATTTTATTATTATTATTAATAGTAATAATAATAATAATAATAATAATAATAATAATAATAATAATAATAATCGCGCCGACCACCGAAAGTCGTACGTCAGTTCGTCACCCAA